GATTATGATGAAAGATGGCAAGAGTTCAGTAATCTCCAATGTGTTGTACATACCAGGCATGAAGAGCAATTTGCTCAGTATAGGGCAATTAGTCGAAAAGAATTATAAAGTGTCGATCAAAGATAAGATGATGAGAGTCATCGATATAAATGGAATATTAATCTTGAAGGCTCCTATGTCTCAAAATAGAACCTTCAAGATCGAACTAAATATGATGGAGCACAAGTGCCTTTCGACTGCATCTAGAAGAGATGAATGGATATGACATTATCGACTAGGTCATCTCAACTTCAGAGACATAAGAGATTTGAAGAGAGGTAATATGGTTTTAGGATTTTCAGAAATCGACATTCCAAATGAGGTATGTGAGGAATGTGTGTAGGCGAAGCAGCACAAGAATAACTTCAGCAAGGATGTAGGAAGCATGTCGAAGGTTATTCTTGAAGTCATATACTCTAATGTATGTGGACCAATTCAGGTGGATTCGATGGGAGGTAACAAATGCTTTGTTACATTCATAGATTATTTCAGTCGAAAGCTGTGGACTTACCTGATCAAGAAAAAAAGTGTAGTAATCGAGGTATTTTCCAAGTTTAAGTCTATGGTCGAAAGACAAAGTGGTCAAAAACTCAAAGTTTTGAGAACTGATGGTGGTGGAGAGTATGTGTCGAAAGACTTCGACAGGTTATGTGAAAAGGCAGGGATTGTGCATGAGATGGTGTCAACCTATACTCCACAGCATAATGGAACTGCATAAAGGAAGAATAGAACCATCATGAATATGGTGACAAGTATGTTGAAAGGAAAGAATTTACCTAAAGAGTTTTGGGGTGAAACTGTGTCGACTGCAACATACATTTTGAACAGATGTCCTACAAAGAAGCTAGAAGGAATTATTCCAAAAGAATGTTGGTCTGGTGTGAAGCCTAGCTTTAGTCATCTGAAGGTATTTGGATCTATTGCACATAGACATGTACCAGATCAGTTGAGAAGAAAACTTGATGACAAGTCGAGTCAAATGATTTTATTTGGATATCATTCGACAGGAGGTTACAAGTTGTTCGACCCAATGAACAAGCAGATTGGGATCAGCAGGGAAGTTATCATAGATGAGCTTAAAGAATGGAATTGGGATGAAAATGTCAAGAAAGATTCAGTGGGAATCCTACTTGAAGAAATAGAAACTCAAGTCGAAAGAGAAGTTCGACAAGAGGAACCAACAGTTATAGATCAACCAAGTACAAGCAGACCTCAAAGAATAAGACGCATGCCTGCAAGATTGCAAGATTGTGTGATTACATTAGATGATGTGATAGATAATGAAGGTGAGTTGGTACATTATGATTTCTACGCAGATGCTGAACCTCTCAATGCAACTTAAGCATTGAAGGACTCGAAGTGGGTGAAAGAAATGAACGAAGAAATGAAGTCTATCGAAGACAACAACACTTGGTCACTTGTCGAATTGCCTAAAGGAAAGAAGGAAATTAATGTCAAGTGGGTATAAAAAGTAAATATGAATCCCAAAGGGGAAATAACTCGAGACAAAGCAAGGCTCGTGGCTAAAGGATTTCTACAGAAAGAAGGAATAGACTTCGATGAAGTTTTTGCACTTGTTGCTAGGATCGAAACAATCAGGTTGGTTGTTGGTCTAACAGAAATAAACAAATGGCATATGTGTCAGATGAACGTGAAGTGTGCATTCCTGAATGGACCCTTAGATGAAGAAGTTTATGTTAAAAAACCAGTTGGGTTTGTGAAACATGACGAAGAGAGAAAGGTGTACAGGCTACATAAAGCCTTGTATGGATTGAAACAAGCTCCAAGAGCTTAGAATAAGAAAATTGATAGTTTCCTAAGAGAGAAGGAATTTGTGAAGTGCACAACTGAACATAGAGTATATGTAAGAAGAAGCAATAGTGAATTGCTTATACTATGTTTCTATGTCGATGATTTGTTGATAACAGGTAGCTGCAAAAGTGAGATCGAAGACTTCAAAGGTGATCTCAGCAAGGAATTCGAAATGTCTGATCTGGGTGAGATTTCATATTTCTTTGGCATTGAATTCTACAAGAGCAGTAGAGGTTTGATGATGCATCAAAGAAGATATACAGGAGAAATTATTAAGAGATTTGAGATGGAAGAATGCAACTCAACTTTGACACCTGCAGAACCAAGACTGCAATTGTCGAAAGATCCAGATGTAGGTGATGTCGACCCAACCCAATACATAAGACTTATTGATTCATTGAGATACCTTTGTCATACAAGGCCTGACTTAGCGTATAGTTTAAGTATGGTAAGTAGATTCATGCAGAAGTCAAAGGTATCACATCTAGCAGTGGTGAAAAGGATACTAAGGTATCTCAAAGGAACTCTCGACTATGGCATTTTGTTTCCTGCAGCTGATAAAGGAAAAGAATGCAAGTTAGTGGGATACACTGATTCGAGTTGGTGTAGTGATGCTGAAGATCAAAAATCAACAGTAGGATATGTGTTTATGTTAGGTGGTACACCTGTTGCATGGAGTTCAAGAAAGGAATCAGTAGTGGAATTATCATCATGCGAAGCAGAATACATAGCTTCTTCTCTTTGTGCATGTCAAGCAACTTGGATAGTGAACTTGATCGAAGAGATAACATGGAAAGATCGTGGAGCAATTACCATGAAGATCGATAGCATGTCAGCTATCAACCTGGCGAAGAACCCAATAGCACATGGTCGAAGCAAGCACATCGAAATGAGGTTCCACTATCTTCAAGAGCAGATAGCAGATGGGAAGATGAATTTGGAATACTACAGAACTGAAAATCAGATTGCAGACATCATGATGAAGGGAGTGTAAGTCGAAGTATTTCGAAGACTAAGAACCATGATGAATATAGATAGTTTAGAAAAAATGAATTAGGTGGCGTGTTAAATTGTAATTCGATTGCGTCGAAACTATGTGTGTCGAAGGGTTTAGAGGTGGATCGAAGCAGGTTGCTCGAAGGAAGCCATTGCTCAGTCGAAGAGCTTGTGGATCGAAGCTAGCTACACACATATTAGATTTATTTTAGATTTAGATAGATTTGATTTAGAACTAAAATAGAGTAGATTTGATTTAGTACCAAAATAAGTATTTTGGGTTTTTATAGTTTTGGGCTTTGGCTTAGGAGCAAGCTAACATAAATTTATAAATAGAGGGAGTAACTCCTAATTTTGTAATCAAGTCAATTAAGTTGTATTTACAGAATTTGCAATTGCAAGTGAATAACAAAGTTTTCCACAGTTTGTGAGCAGAGAGAAACTCTGCAGAAAATAATTGTCTTTTTTCTTTTCTTTTCTTTTCTCATAATTCATTGTCATAGTGTGGTGATATCAATCTTGTTCATCAAAATTGGTAGAAATTCATCATAGATATTTAATGGATTTCCAACACATGAAAATGCTTAATTTGAGAGATAAAAAACTTTTTTGAATAATATATTAATGCAAATTATTGAATTATCATAGTACGAGTTTGTCTAGAACACTCTGGTTTGAAAATCAAGAGTGCATTTTATAAAAGAACAACAACATTTGAGAAGTTGTAGAAAGTAAACATAATCGTCTTTAAAAAATTTTAATGACTATTACAAATAATTTGCAAAATGTTTCGCATAATTAATAAACTAGAATATAAATATACGTTGTCAATATAATTCATCATTAATCCTTGAACATGTACTAACACACAAAAAATTAAAAGGTAAAAATTAAGACGTATTAACTACAAATGTTCTTAAACTTGTGTCATCTATACACCATGATAAAAACCCCTAACTGATCTCCAAAAAAATTACCACTAAGTTACCATCATACCATCACAAATAATAGGAAGCATTGTTGTCGGGATCTAGCCCTAACTCCCAAAATCTTATGATCTTACGCTCCGACAATCAGCCACCGATTTAAGCGGAATAAAGATCTTAGTGTTGGTTGGAGCGTTGAACTCCTAGAAAAAGATCTTAAAATCGTGGGATCTTGAGATTCCAGTGATCCATTTTTTGGTGTTTACCCGTTTTAGACTCATTTCGATCAGATCATTAAACAATTAGAATCAACCCATACTGACCCATGATTAACCTTGACTTTTGTGGATACATATTTTAAGGTTTTTGAACTTGCAATGTGTTAGATGGGCTTTTGAGAATTGTAAATTAAAGATTGTCCGCAAACATAAGACACTTTAACTCTGAGAAATTTGTATTGATTAATCATACAATGAATGAATTCTTTCCTTCTTGTATCTTTTCTATAATTCAAATCAAATCCTTCTATTATTATTTTTTGGATAAAATATTTGCTATTGATAATTAAATTAATGAGAATTTTATGTTAAAGTAATTTTTCCTAATTATTTCTATAATTTATTCCATTTATTGAGATCTTACAATCCGAGTTACGATCTTACAATTTACACTTTTTTCCATACCTAACAATTTTTTAATAGAGATTTCAATTTTGACAACCATAATAGGAAGAAGGATGGCTTCCTCACACAAAATATGTGATAACGCATTCAAACTAGAAGTAGCCTTAACAATATTTAAATTTGTAGCATAAGAAAATCCCATATCCTAAGAAGTCAAATTCATCAAAACTAGGGGCTATTTCGGCATATGTGCCACATGGTCATTATTAACTTTGAACCATTTTTAGAAATATATTTTTCAATTTCTCCATATTGAAAGTTTAAATATCTTTTTGATGTACAACATCCTTCATTTGGCTTCAAAATCTTGTACATTTTAAAATTTGTATCTTTCCAAAGAAAAAAAATCAACCCTTAACATAAAACAACTATCTAAAATTCTGAATACAATAATTTAATCCTCTTTCATCCATAAAGTTCTTAATGTTCTCCACTTGATCACTCCCATTAACATACATTTTTCATTGATCTAGTTTAAGGTCCTCATGAACCTAATAATCCTTCCACAAATCTATCTTTCCCCCATTCCCAATCATCCAATAAATCATATCATTAAGAGTGGGCAAATATTAGAGTCATGAACTTTGACATGTATGTCTGCATACTCATTCTCTTGTCTGTCATATTTTTCATTGCCAACAACCTCCTTGATCATATGAGATATCTTATCCAAGCACAAAACAAAGATATAAGGTGAAATTGGATTACCTTTCCTAAGAACCTTCCTTGTTTCAAAGAGAATACAATCATTCCCATTCCAAAGAACCTTCATTTTGACAGTGGAAATGGCCTTCATGATCACTCTTTTCATTTGATTAGGAATATATGCTTCATTTAAAATCTTCTCCATAAATTTCCAATTAAGGTTATCCTCTACCTTTATCACAAAAGATCCAGTTTTCCATTTCATATGATTCATTGTGTGTAGCATTTCCTGGGCTACAATTATGTTTTCCTGGATGTTTCTTCCAGGGATGAAACCAGTTTGAAAAGGTGAAATAGTGTCATCAATACATATTTTGAGTCTATTGACTATGGTTTTACTAAAAAATTTATACACAATATTGCACAATGAAATGGGTCTAAACTGACTAACATAAGGATTGTTCATTTTAAGGATGAGCACCGAGGAAAAGGATTTTCATCATCAAAATCATGTTCATTTCTAATGTATCTTTCTTGATTAATCACTACAAAAAAAAGAGTTCAGTTTTGACGTGATTATTACGTCACAACGTGCAAAATCACGTCAAAACGTATTTTTTGTGACGTGAACAATTACATCGCAGGAGGGCGCGTGACAACTTTATTGCGACATAATTTTCGTGTCACAAAGTTGTGACGTGAAAATCATATTGCAACATGTTTACACAAAAATCAGAACATTTAAGTGGGAGCAGGCGTATCAGGTGGAGAGTCAGAGCGGCAACTTTTTTGCCACGTGATTTTCACGTCACTAATTTGTGATGTGAAAATCACGTCACTAAATAATTACATTTTACAAAGTAACGTATTAACATGATTTTATTTTATTTTTATAAAAAATTATAGGTTGCGACGTGATTCAATACATTTTCTTCAATCTCCTTCAAACTTATTGTTTAACCTCTTTACAATTCTTCAAACTTCTTCTCTTCAAAATTTCTTCTATTCAATACCTTGAAAAAAAAAAACAAAATTAGTAAACAGAAAATATTGTAAAATTAAAACAAAAAATATAATAAATAATTGATGCAAACTTACCTTTGAAACAAGATTGGAACAAATTAAAGAAAAAATTTGGGTTTGGAAAGATATGTGAAACATAATTGGGGAAGAATAAGAGAAGATAAAATGAAAAGGAAATTGAAATTGTGTTGTTCTTCGTAGTCTGGGAGAAAGATAAAAGGGCATTTATATAAGCCAATCAGCGGGTACTTCTTGATTATTTGTTTTACTTTTCTTCTCATTTGGAGGAGGCTTTTGAGTTGTTTTACTTTTCTTCTCATTTGAAGGAGGCTTTTCAGTCATTTTTCCATTAATGATTTGAAATCTCATTGTTGGTAGAAGTAATTTTCCTATTTTAGTCAAATATTCTTTGTCTCTTCATCTCTGAAACTGTATCTGATGTGTTCCAGAATCTTGTGATCATATTACCATATGGCATAAATAATTCTTCTTTCTTTCTTTCCATCATGTATTTGATTACTCGTTTAGCCCAGTTTACCTTGATTTTGTTTTATGTTGACCATACACCTTCAACATTGAATTAGTTTATGATATTAAAGTTTCTTTTTCTTGGGAAAAGTATATGATTGATCATATAGTGAATCATACGACTGCCAAGGCAGATGTATCCATAAGTGAATGGAGTTAGTATGGAGGGTGATGGGTTCTTTATAAGAGATGATACAATAATATTTAGATTGAATTTGTATCCTTTGTTTCCAAACTCGAGGATGATATCTTCGCAAGGAAGATTCTGAATCTCTCCAACTCTTCTACTGATAGAGATATCCTATGCCTTTTTACTTCAGAATGAACTATTCCATCAGTGAGGTTGAGATTTAAGAATAACATATATACTTGTGATAGATAAACTTTTCTTGAGGGGCTACAAAGGAAGGTGGATAAGTTAAGTTCTATAAAAGTTTGCAAGAACTCAAATTCTTTAAAGGCTTTTGAATCCAATGTGTGAATCCTTATAGGGGTTCAATCGACACACTCTTGGAAAAATCTCACCTCTTGTCTTTTGGTTGTGAAGAAATCAGAGAAGGGGCTAGTGTAAAAACTTAATCTTTTAGGAGTCATGATGATTTTGAAATAATAATTTCACACTCATAAGATTTGTAAGAGAATATGTAAAGAAAAAGAATGAAGTATGAATACCTATTTATAGCGTGTTTCCTAATGATTTTCTCGTGTATTTCTGGCAAGAAATCAATGGGGATTTTGCTGATTGAAAATCAAATTGAGATCATTCTAAATTTGGTGTTCCAATTGATTGGCTAAGGGCTCCAATCGATTGGTTTATCAAATCTTTCTAGATTTTGAGCATTCATCTTCAATGCTGGGATTTGATTACCTTGAAGCACGCGTTAAGCTTGGATTTGATTTGAAAAATGTGTGCCAAGCTTCTCCAATCAATTGCCTTAAGGTGAAAATCGATTGGGATTACGTCAGTGAGCCTCATTGGTGCATTTTGGGCCTTGTGCTGGATTTATTACTTTTCTGCACCCATATTCATCCTTATTTCGACCCCTTTTCTATAAAACATTTTAGAGACTTATCTTGGTTATTAAATATAATTTATTAAGACAGTCAAAATTAAACCCATTATTTTAAGTGATTAGTCGTAGTTTTCTAATCATTTCAACCCTAAATATCAAAAGGGTTTGATGAAAAATTTCCTTAAAGGGAACACCAATCATTTTATGGTGTGCTCTTCTCTATAAATCCTTGGATGCAAGTGTTAGTGTAAGCCACAAGATAGATAAGTCCATTACAGATATATCCATCCAACATACTATGAGGTTAACTGACTACTAATAATCATAAATGTTGAGACATTCTCAACAACTATTTCTTTGATCTTTCTCATTGATATTCACCACCATCGTACATTCTTGGATTAGAGACTTGTTGTATACTAGAGAGTGTATCTCTTTCTTTGCATAGCTCTAATAATTATTGTTCAAGCTTCGGGATGCAAACCATACCTACAAAACATTAAGGTTTCACCTTTGGTACCCAAGCTTTCTTGGGTCCAGGTGCATTATTTTTTCTAGAAGGTCTAGGGCTTTCACCTAGACCGTTTCAAATTTTCAAAACATAAAGGCTCTAAATGGCCAAATCTTTTGCAGTATGTGCATTCATAAATTGGACGATTCTTTTTCATATGATCTACACCTTTACTAGGTTTTCCATCTTTCTTTAATCCTAGTCCATTCTTATTTAAGGAAGGCATTTGAATTGATAAGATCAAGTCAAGTTTTTCTTTCCCTTGGGTAAACATACTTATGGTTTCATGTAACTCAATTACTTTCTTTTTCAGGGAGACACATGTCTCACAAGTTTCTCTTGAGTTTCTAATTTTAGTTATTTCTAACTTAAATGATTTATTGCTTTCTTCAAGAGATCCTAAATAATCCTTAAGGTATGAGTTGCATTTTCTAAGTTTATCATTCTCTTCAACTAACTTAGCAATAATTCTAAATAACTTTTTGTAGGATGGTTTAGTTACCTCAACACCATCTTCCCCATATGATGCTTTTAAGCAGACTTCGTCTTCTTTATTGGAAGAAGGTTCTTCTATGTTTCTCCCCGAGGTTTAAGTTTCTTCACCTTTTATTCCTTCGACTATTCCACTTGAAGATACTTCTTCTTCACATTTTCTTACACAAGAGGTTTTTTCTTTTAATGTTGAATCTTCCGAATATCGTTTAACTATTGAGTATACTCTTTTGAAGGAAACTATTGGAGTTGTTTGATATGAGTTTTATGAAGTTGACAATTCTTCAGTTTTTGAGCTTGCTCCTTCATCTTTAAGTAATTGAACTAGTTTGTTTAATTTCTCTATGATTTCCTTCTTTCTTGATTTTTACTTAAATTCGCGAAGGCTCCCATCTTTCGATTTAAGAATTGGATTAAAATTATAATTCTTAACTCTTAGACATTGATTAGTGATAAACGTTTCAATACGGTTTCTAGGATTTAAAAAACATTTAAAGATGGTATCTTTATCTTCTTTTCCTTGCATGTTCATCTCTGTTTGCTTGATATTTGGAGAAACTCCATATATCATTTCAAGAGTATCCCACACTTCCTTGGTGATTTTGAAATTATGAACATAAAATAATTTGATATCATCTAGATACATTACTATAAATCTTTTGGTTTTGAAATCTATTTCAAACCTTCTCTTTTATTCTTCGGTCCAAAGGGAATCAGGTTTATCTATTACTTTTCTATTTACTTGGTAAGTAGGAATAAATAGACCATTGAATATTGTTTCCCATAGTTCATAATTAATACTTTTAATAAATATTCTAAACCTAGATTTCCAAATTTCAAACCTAGTACTATTAAAAGATGGTGGTGTGTTTAGAAGATATCCCCTTAAAGGTGTATTGAAAGTCATCTTTCTCCTGAGACAATTAGTTCTTAAATAGAAGTTAGGCTCTGATGTCACTTGTTAGACATGTGACTTCACAAAATTGATTTTGAAAAACTTAATAATTTTCAGATTTTAAAAGCATTATTGAAAATAAGCAACAAAAATTAAAATTCAGAAAATAAAACGCAAAAAGTAAAAGTTAAGGGAATAAAGAAGACACCATGAAATATACAGGTTCAATAAAAAAACGACTTAGTATTGTTCCCAAGATTTGATCTTGAGAGTATCCAATAAAACTCAAGAGTGTTTAGTAGGTTGAACTTTCGAACCCCCTTATACAAGGAAAGTGTGTGTGGTTAACATCCAACCAAATAATGAACAAAGAGAGAAGCGACAAGTCTTCCTTCTAAGTGATGGATCGAAGCGATTAGTCTTATTTCCATAAGAAACTTGGATTGGTTAGTCTTCAAGCTTCAAACCAATATTTTGCATGGGCTTATCTTAAACTTGTGAGAGCTTTTAACATCAGGCTGAGCTCACAAACCGAACCTTGGTTTTATACCGGCTTAATCAAGAACCTAGGAGGTTTTAGGACCTCGATGATATCCAAACCTTAATAAGATTTTAAAATCGGGATGAGCTTGAATAAAATGAATACTTTTACACGAGCTAAGCCTTCGAACCAAACTGTGATCTGCTGTCACACACAGATAAAAAATGAGTATTTTGTAAAATGCAGTATATCGACAATGGCTCGAGTCGTATCGCAAGGATTCTTGATTTTATTATTAACTAATAGAAATCTAATGGGGGTTGGTTTTAGGATCGATTCATAACACGAAATAAGTGATTAAAATAAGTGATTATAAAAATAAGTCGATCTACTGTTTTCAGGTTCCTGCTAATCATTGGTTTTTACCTTATCAATTGTCTAAGCGGCTTCGAACTCTATTCAATTTCAATACCAATTGACAAGCGCAATAGATATAAAATAGATTGAATTCCCATTTCGAATT